TTTCAAACATTAACCCACCCCTGGAAGAAGCCTGTTTTGAAATCCTAGCGAAAACTGCACTAGATCCTTGCAGTTTTCAGTCATGTTTTTAATCTAGTTGCCTTTTATATGTTTGACGCGCCTGCGAGCGTATCTCACTAGATGGATTTGATTCTTTGCGAGTGAATAACATCAGCCAGTAAAGTGGTGAAACAAGAATATTTGCCCCATTTTCGAAAATTATGCCTTTGCGAAGGGGGTCATGCCAGCAACCAGAAATATGGCATGGTTCAGATCATCCATTTGAGGACTGTTCCTTGATTGGCAAAAAATGTTACCAGAACGTTGTTTGGACAAAATCTGTCGCAGATGTTTGCACGATCATCGCACGCGGAATTACTTCGCACTCGTTTCATTTTACTTTTACGAAGCAAAGATTTCCTTTTGATGACTGAAAAATTACAGAGCACTTCTTCGAGTATAAATAGTGGTGAATACGCTCGATGAATGTACATACGATGCACCCTGCGCTAGTTGTGCTAGTCCTAATCACACTTATCTACGCGCAAAAGGAGGAGAATTGGGGCCCCCCACCAGGACCTCCACCAGAGGGTTTTCCTCCGGGTTCCCCACCTGAGGGCTTTGATGGTCCTCCTCCCCCTCCTCCACCCGACGGCTTTGGTGGTCCTCCTCCCCCTCCTCCACCTGGCGGCTTTGGCCATGGTCGTCCTCCTCCACCACCGAGGGTAAGACAAATCTATATGCATACACAAACTTTTTGCAGTGAGGAAAAAGCTTTGTAATTTCACATACAGAGAAAGCGAAATTGTTTCTATAAACAGCAGCGTTTTGTTTCGAGGGTATACGCTAGCGATTCTGAGAAATGCTGGCACCGCGTTGCCGGCATTTACCGCCAACATTTGCGTATAAATAATCGCTGCGCTTACTGTTGGCTTTGCGCAGGCAAAATGGCCGCAGAGCGCATCGGAACACAAAGTCTTGAGCCATTCCTTTGTCAAATAAAGTGTAGTCAAAAATAATAAAATACTTTCAGGATATCCCTCCAGAATTTGTACGCGTGTTGCCAGC